CGCGCCCAAATCCATCCGTTAGTCGTTGGAATTGGCATATTTAACCGTTTTATCTGTTCTTATGCAGGGTCTCCACTTCCGCAGGCTTTCTGTTTGAAAGCTGCACGAGTGCGCGGCCTCAGCTCTAACGAGGCTGCGACGTACGTGAGGCGCCTTAGCACAGTATTGTGCACGGTAAGTCTGGGCCGCAAGCTTGGGGGGTAAACTGCCGTTCGCGCCCAAATCCATCCGTTAGTCGTTGGAATTGGCATATTTAACCGTTTCGTCTGTTCTTATGCAGGGTCTCCACTTCCTCAGGCTTTCTGTTTGAAAGCTGCACGAGTGCGCGGCCTCAGGTCTAACGAGGCTGCGACGTATGTGAGGCGCCTTAGCACAGTATTGTGCACGGTAAGTCTGGGCCGCAAGCTTGGGGGGTAAACTGCCGTTCGCGCTCAAATCCATCCGTTAGTCGTTGGAATTGGCATATTTAACCGGTTCATCTGTACATATGCAGGGTCTCCAGTCCGCATTGTGGAGCCCGCGCCAATAGCCAAGCTGTGTTTGTCAGCGGCACAAGAGGACGCTTCATTATGGCAGGCTTGCCAACTGTTTGCTTTTGCCATGTATTTGGGTTTTGCGTCTCACATGGCGATTGGCCATGTGAACGATACCCGCTTGTTTATCGGATAGGTTCATGACTTGATTGAGGAGGCGGGGACTTCCTGCAGAGCATTTGCACAATGGGTCATATCGCGGGTAGGGAGGACTTTCGTTTGTGTGTGTGTGAGCAGCGCCCTGGCAAGTGGCAAGTTTGCTTGGCTTATGCAGACTTTGTCATTAGTGCTACTCATGCATCAGGATGCTGCTGTCTTTGCTGCTCTAATTGCCGAGCCTCGTCAATCTTGTAACACAAGGACGAATTTCTGCACTCATCCCTTCGACTCGCACACTTTGCACTTCCGAATTCGAGCAGCTTCAGTGTTTGACTGGTCCGCGCTTCACTTGGGATCCGTTTGTCCCTTCTCTCTGATCAGCTATGTGCCCCAAATTTAGTTCGACTCTGCACAGCTTTCTGCCTACCAGCTGTGCCTAACATTACGTTTTCATTCACCCGCCTCCTGCTCGTGCTAGTGAGAGTATCTGTTGCACTGCACTTGAACTGCAAGAGCATCGCACCGCATTCAACATCAGGTGGTTTTCATACGTACCACGCTGTTCGATGTTGTTGCTGCGATAAGGAAGCGACACTCTGCTGGGTAACTGGTCCTGTCTAGTTCTGGTACGACCCTCCGGTATCTGCTCCTGATGCTGACGTCGCTACCTCCTTCGCCTTTCTCCGTTTCTAAGGGTTTGACTATGAGGTTTCGAGGTAAAGAGTGCCAGTCTGACGCCTCCATTCTCATCGTTAGTAAATCGTTTTAGTGTGGTTACATGGTGGATCATCATCGTCCTCCCTCATCCGATTGAGCATGAAGCGCCTTAAAGCAACATGCCGGGCCTCCCAGACTTCCGAGCGGAACCTGGCTAGTGCACCAGGGGTGGGGCCTCGGTCATAATCATGCGCTTGAAACGCGAGGTCACGATCGTACTTTGCCCGTGTGCTATTGTACACCGGGCATTCCGCAAAAACATGCATCTCGTCTTCAACCGCCCCGCCGTCACAAAGCCTGCAGGTGCACGCTGTGCACTCACGGCAGTTAGGTCAGTTAATCTCTTAACTCCCAACAGCCTAACCAGAAACGGCGGTTTCAGCCACTTATGCCGCGTGCCCCTAAGTGGGGGCGTCCCTATCCAGTTCAGATAGCGACATGCCTTGACGCCGGTACTTCCACTTTGGAAGGTGCATGGATTACCTAGGGTGCCCGGGCACTCCCACCGGGCGTCTAGACGCCTAGCGAACTCTTCTAAGTAAGCTAGGGGTACTAATTACGACAAGCTCGCGATAAAGTGAAACCGTAGTCGGGCACCATAGGGTTCGCCATTGCGCACTCGGAATTCACACCAATAAAATCAGGTCCCCAAACTTGCGCCTCATACGAAAACACCGGCACAACGAGCGCGTTGTAGACGGACATGCACAGCTCAGCTTAGGGGTACTAATTCTTATCTCGACACAGGGCACTGAGGCCAAACGTGGCCCGTTTTCCTGCTGCTAGTGGTTGTTTGGTGCAGGCTGAAAACTGTGTGCCTTGAGTTCCAGAAACAAGATTGGCCCCGACGAAGCCGCCGCCGCTACTTGTACGGCATAATGTCGTCCTCGAGGCTGTCTCAGCAGATGGTGAGTGTACGGATCGCTGCGGGCCTGACGGAGCCGATGGAGTGAACGCTCCGCCGCCGGAAGGAATGGAAAGGGCGGCAGCGGCAGCGAGAGTTGTCAGCGGCGGCGGGGGATGCGGCGTTGCCGTACCGTGTTGGCGGCATTCCTTTGCTCCCCCGTCGCCCTCGCGATCCCCCTGGAAAGCCCACGGCCATGCTGACGGTCTCCGAGGTCGGGGGGACTCTGACGACGCCACCGTCGCCGCCGTCGCAGCCGACGGCGACGGGATCGGCGACGGGATCGGCGACGATGTCGTACTCACGGCGGCCATTGTGGCGCGAAATGGCGATTCCGGGTCCCCGGTTGAGGTGATGGAGATGTACGGCAGCGCCGCCGAACGAGTGGTGTCAGCGGCGGATATGGGTGTTCACACACCGGGGAAGTTATCGTACTGCAAATGTACGGCTGGTGGCGCCGTTGCTGTTGCGTTGCTGGTGTCTGACCCAGCCCCGGCAGCAACCTGCGGTGTGAATGTTAGGATTTTAGGGTTTTAGGGACTTGTGGCTTTGAGGTTTTAGGGTTAAGAGTGAGGAAAGAAACGTCCTGAAGGAGAAGGAATTTTACTAAGGCTGTGCAAGATGAACTTCCACGTCGTAATCAACGATTCTAACTGCCATTACTATCACGTGGCCGTTACCCCTAACGGTTCTTACCACAACGGCCATGGACGAGCGCCTCCGGGAACACAAGGACCTAGGTTCGCCGAACGTGAACTCGGGTCTGGGTAACGCAGCCTCCGCGCCAGCAGCCGCAGCAGCAGCAGCTCGTCCCATGCGCCTATCTGCCGTACGGCCGACGGGAGCGCCGCTGTTTACTTCCAAGGTTTCGGCGCCACCCTCGATGCCGGTGCCGGCGGCGACCCTGCCGCCGCCGCCGCCACCGCGGCGGCGGCGGCGGCGGGTGCCGCCATCGGGAAACGATCCCGTATGGGAAAACGCGGAATCCCACCCCGCTGGCGCTGTGCGTAAGGCCCACGACAGCGTCCTATTACCCAGAGTGCCACTGCCAACGCCACCGCCGCCGTCGCTGCCGCCTGCACTGACACCGCTACTGCCGCCGACGACAGTGGCGCTTCTTGCACCACCTCCCCTGAGCCCCATCTCTCGACCGTACGGCACATAAGCAGGGGCGCAGACATCGTACCCGCTGCCTGTGCTGGGAATCTGCGGTACGGCATCAGCATCCAGGGCTGTGACACCGTCTGTCGTTCGTCGCGATGTGATACTGTCGCCGCCAACGCCGCTTACGTTTGCTGGGTGCGCAAGGCCTTCGACAAGCCCACGGGGTGGAGCTTCAACCTGCGTCGTACCGGTGTGTACGGCAGCTGGTTCGTTGGTCTGGCTGCCGCCGCCATTACCGCCGCACCTACCGGCGCCCGGCCCGATGGCGGCGGCGGCGGCTCTGCGATGTCTGAGGGCCGCTGCGGCACCCGATTGACGCCGCATCCGTCCCGTACATCGCCGCTCGCTGTAACGCCTTCCGCCGCAGCGTCTGTCGGCGGTGATAGCTGTACGGGAGTTGTCGGCGGCGCTGGCGGCGACTGCGTGGCGACGGCGGCGGGAGAGGGGGCGGCGGTAGCAGTGGACGAGATCGATGACATTGACGTCAGCAACTGCCTGTGAGATCCGCCGCCGCCGCCGCCCGACAAGGCGGGCGGGTGTTGGGCCCTGGCGGCGCCGTGAGGACTTGAATGGCAGCTTGAAAGCGACCTCACGGTTTGTGAGAAGGCGGAGAGGGAGGAGACGGCCGCACCCGACCACATGCTGAAGGGAGCTGCGGGGGAGGGAGAGAGGGAGGGGGGAAAGACGAGCTTGTTCTTGTTGTTTGCCGCAGGAGCCGGGCGCGGCAAGTCGGCGAGCAGGAACGCGCGCGGGGTGCGGGGTCGCAGGCGCCCCAACACCCCGGGAACTCCCCCGGTGGCAGATGGTACGGAGGCTGGTACGGCAGTGGCGGCGCCGGCGGTGGCGGCGAAGGGGCTGTCGGTGGCGCCAATACTGCTTGTGGCGACCGCGTCCTGCCAGGTGCAACGCGGCGGCGGCGGCAGCGGTGCCGTCGGCGGCAGGTCCCGCCGTACTTGCCTCTGCTCGACGGCTTCGCGTTGGAATGCTTGAACTGGGGCCTGTTCCTAATGACTAATAGCTCCTGCTGCTGCTGCTGCTGCTGCTGCTGCTGCGCTAAGGCCTGCCGTTGCAGCTCTAAGGCTAAGGAAGTCGGTCGCGGCAGCGACAGCTGAGGACGATGACGAATCTTCGCGAAAGGCTGGAAGCTGGCAAAGGTGCTGCGCGTTGGTGGCCGAAAGGTCCGAAGTGACGTTGAGGTGCGCTGGAAGGACCCATGGGGCAGCAATGCGCTGTGCCCCCTCGGGCCCCTCCGCAGTCGGTGCGAGCTCGAGCTGCTGCTGCTGCTAAGGAGGATCGCAGATTTGATTTGGCTTGCTGCTGGCAAAAGTTGCGGTGCTGGCGGCAATATCGGGGCGAGCGGCATCGCTTGGGGCGCCGCACGAGACGCAACGACATAGCGCCGCTCCCATCCAATTCAAAGTTGATGGTAATATGGTATTCTGTGTGATGGTGTCCGGAAAGCGGAGGGCCAGGCAACTTGTTGGAAGCGCTGCTGGCTGTTCGGTGGTTCAGCATGCAGCAGCCTACTACTTCACAAACGCCGCCGGCCGCGTGTAACTGGACGCACGCATAAAGCATGAAAGCGAAAGGAAGAGATGCGATGAGATATTTAGAGCTCCAAGTGTTGGTTAGATAGGTTTGTAAACGCTGTCTGGAGTCTGTGGAGTGAAATGCAAATGATGGACATACGGCTACAACCCAGTTACCAAAATAATTCTCAAACGAGTAACAAAATTTCAGTTAACAGAAGCAACAGTTAATACCGAAAATAGCTGAAACACAACTTTACTTCACGTGAAACAACGGTGCTCGCACGCACCGAGACGCTCTCGGCTTCAAATTTCACATTGCAGAGCTGGCCACGATCCCTCCTCGATCATTCGAGCACTTTCGCTGTGTGAATTCATTCTCAGGAAAGATTTGTTGTTTGGGCCAAAGACCTTCCCTCTTCGTGTCAGCAATGTTGATGGTGCAAAGCATATTTGAAAAACGTATGCTTTCTCGCGCAGTTACGCTATGATGGCAACTTCCATAGATTACGGTTGGCCAAAGAGCTCTACTGGCCAACGAGCTCTGCTGTCTCCGCATCCTGTTCACTGCGATGTAAACCAACCAA